CAAACAGCTGTTAGGCAGCAGGGGGGCTGGAAGCACTGCGAGGGAGGGGGAGGAGTGGGGACACGGTGCACTCAAGAGAGGGGGAAGGAGGAGGAGGCAGCTTGGCTGCCACTGGGTGTGGAGCACCTCCTAATTTTTCCCCGGGGGTGCTCCAGCCCTGGACCACGCACTGGGTCGGTGCCTATGGTCAGTGGAGCCATGAAATTGACAAGAAAGCCAGCTCCCCAGCCGGTGCCCAATCTTCTTTCCAAGCCAGGCTGCCACCCAGGCTCCCGGCTCAGGCTGCCGCCTAGACTCCCTGCGGGGAGTCCTGTTGCTCCCCTCTCACTAGAGGCAGAGTAACAAGGTGACTCACCGGCAGTTTCTTCTTTGACAATTCTAAAGTCCTGGTGAGGTATTGAGGCAATATCCCCCAGGACTCAACACACATAAGCAGGGAAGTCTGAGAAGCATGACAAAAGCATTAAAAGTCTTCTCAAGCAACGTGTGCACTCAGGAAGTGTAACAGTTCTCTCAAAATGGACTGCTATTGTGAACTGGGCAGTACTCTAATGAGGAAAAAATGCTGGAGCCATATATTTAGGGCTAGATCCTACAACTGAATCCACCCGGATACGGGGGGTTTGCCCACATGTATTCAGTTATAGGATCTGGCCCTTCATAAGGATTATTCACAGAGGTATCACATCTGAAAAGCTGAGCCAAAAGTTCTGTTCGTGTGCAGAGTTTTAAAACCGTTTCATAATTAAGCCACAAGATATGACAGACATTTACTGACAGTTATTGCAGCACTCTCTGGATGTATTATTAAACCCAAGACGAGACACTCAAGGCCAAATGACTTTAATCACCTTACAAGTGCAATAATGCCTTAGATATGCACAGCCTGAAAATATGTGGGGATATTGAAATAATTTGTAAAGTGATAAGAATCTTATTTGGGGATTATTCACAATGGTTGACATGTTGATTAGACAATCAGAAAATCTGTGTACACATCTTTAATAGTGTCCTGGAAAAAATAATTGTGTTTGTTCCCTTTTTCTGCCCTCCCCCTTTCCCCTCATGATGTACAGGACGATCTTGTGGGATTCCTTCCCTCCCCCATCCCCCACTTGTTCTTTACATTATCAATATCAAGTCTGATATTTCCTGTGTTGCTGGAAATCTTTCTTCATGAACCGAAACATGTGAATTGGGACCTTTTCAGACTTTACTAGGAGAGGTGGAAGTGTTGAATATCCAACAAGAGCTTTTCTTCCAGCTATTTTACTTGTTTGAGTTATACAAACTTTAACAAAACCAAACAAAAAACCCACAGTTTTTAACTGTCTGAACAAAGATCACCTCCCATCTGAGTTTCATTTTCATGTTTTCTTTAATATCATAGTTCTACTAGCTCTGCAGTCATCCCTTGCGTCTTCCAGAAAAAACAGGAGAGATGCTGCTTCAATTTCTAATTCAAAACCCAAGCAGAAGAAATATCTTACATGCCTTTATAAAGACGCAAAAAAAGCATAGACTTTTTTTCCCTTTGGGGGTCACTTTTAAGCCACTTCAGAACCACAGTAGTTTCCTGGACTAGATAAACAGAATGGAAAAATACATCTCTTGCTGGACTAACTTTGGTGCTTTAGGATGTACTAAAAATGTTTCCATATGTAATTCAGGTGGTGTTTACCATTTCTTAGTGGACTCAGCCAATCTTCCCCTGCAGAGCTAAAAGGAGTGAGGGATCACCTAAACGAAGTCCCACTTGCAACAGCAACTCCAGAACAAACACTGCACCAAAATGAGAGCCCACTTCTTCAGAAAGTAACTTAGGGAGGCTGGCAAAGGGCCTTATGAACAAGGGACTTCTTCCTCAGAGCAAGTCTTAACCACAGTTTTGGAACTGGTGCTGAACACAGTACAGTTAAACTGCGTGCAGCTCTATCAATATTGATTTTCATTCTCAATGTATGGGGCTGATCTTACGGAGGGCATATCAACAATTGACGTGTTAGTAATATATTAACACGTTAACTAACACAACTGTAAATTCTTTGATAGACAGGACACGAAGGTAAGCTTAAACATGACTAGCAACTCACATCTGTCTCCTGGAACAAACATTTGTGTGGTATCTTCACTAGAATTTACAATCATAGATTCATAGATTCTAGGACTGGAAGGGACCTCGAGAGGTCATCGAGTCCAGTCCCCTGCCCGCATGGCAGGACCAAATACTGTCTAGACCATCCCTGATAGACATTTATCTAACCTACTCTTAAATATTAGTTAACAAGTTATTAAGTATGATTAAACATTCAAGTTTAGCGATACCTTGGGGTAAAACTCTCTTGAATTCAATGGGACTTTTGCCTGAGTAAAAATTATAGAATTTGACCCCATGTAGTTGCATGCCAAGGTGTAGAAGCTTCATTTCAGTTACAGAGTGATAAAAACAGATTTTACGATTAGAACAGAGTGCTAGTGAAATAAATTACACTCAAAGAGTTAACAAATAGCTGACCTATGTGATTCCAATTGTGCAAGAGCAAACTCTGAAAGGCACCCAAAGCTCTCCAGGTATTTACAGTTTATCACTAGGGTTCCCAGGCGTCTGGGTTTCGACTGGAATGCTCGGTCGAAAAGGGACTCTGGCAGCTCTGGTGAGCACTGCTGACTGGGCCCTTAAAAGTCCGGTTGGCCGCCAACAGCAGGGCAGGCAGGGTGCCTGCCCAGCTCCAGCAGTTCCTGGAAGTGGACGGCATGTCTCTCAAGCTCCTAGGCACAGAGGCGGCCACGGGGGCTCCGCACGCTGCTGCTGCCCGAGCGCTGGATCTGCAGCTCCCATTGGCCAGGAACCTGAGGTAAGCACGGCCTGGAGCCTGCACCTTGAACACCCTCCTGCACCCCAACCCCCTGCCCCAGCCCTGAGCCCCCTCACACACCCAAACTCCTTCTGGAGCCTGTACCCCATACCCCCTCCTGCACCCCAACCACCTGCCCCAGCCCATAGCCCCCTCCTGCACCCAAACTCCCTCCCAGAGCCCGCACCCCCTCCCGCACTCTGAAGCCCTCGGTCCCCACCCAGAGCCCCCTGCTGTACCCCAAACCCCTCACCCCGACCCCAAACCAGAGCCTGCACCCCAACCCCCTGCCCCAGCTCGGAACCTCCTCCCGCACCCCAATCCCTGCCCCAGCCCACTCCTGCACCCCAAGCCCATGCCCGACACCACCCAAGAGCCTCCACCCCAGCCAGAGCCCTCACCCCCTCCCACACCGCAACCTCCTCCCCAGACTGGAACCCCCTCCCACACCCTGAACCCCTCATTTATGGCCCCACCCCAGAGCCCACACCCCCAGCCGGAGCCCTCACCCGCACCCCAACTCCCAGTTAAAATGAGTGAGTGATTGAGGGTGGGGGAGAGCGAGCAACAGAGGGAGGAGGGGGATGGAGTGAGCAGGGGTGGGGCCTCGGATAAGGGGTGGCCTAGGGTGGGGCAAGGGTGTTCGGGTTTTCTGCCAGTAGAAAGTTGGCAACCCTATTTACCACTTACACTTCAAATGAGGTTTTAACATCAGGCATCATAAGGGAGTTAAAAGTCATAGATCCTCAAGGGAAAGGAAAGATCTGCAATTCAGATAATATAGACAGCACAGTGAACAAGGTGTTCAATGGGGCCAATTGATTTCTAATTTATCAACTAATACATACATCATTTTATGTAAAATAATGAACTTAAAACCGCACTAATTGCAGGTGGAAAGCATAGTGCACAGCAGCTCTCTGATTTATATGAGATTCCATCAAACAAAAGATACATGGAAATGGAGACCCCACTCATTTCCAATACATTTTGTTTGAATTTAAATATACATCTGTTCACATTCCTATTTTAAAAAATGCGAACAACAACAAAGGAGATGAATATACCAGAAAAGGAAAAGAATCCAGCATTGCAGTGGGCATGCAAAGAGTGCCAGGGAAGCCGCACATCAGAGCTCCCACCATTAGCAAACCCTCAAAGAGCAACTCAAAGGCATCTTAGCACTTTACCCCCTGGACAGGTTTTGAGTGGACTCTGTGGCTGGGTATTATGTTGTGCCCCTATAAACTTCCCCTGGCAGCAAGGGTGCTCACAGCCATTGAACCAAAACCCTGTATATAATGGAAACCACTGCAAGCCAGGGGGTGTGGCAGCACCCCTAGTTCCAGCACCTAGGGAGGAGTCCTAGGGAGGAGGCAGAAGAGCTGCTTAGAGGCGATACCTCCCAAAAGCCCAGAAGGGAAAACCTGACTGGACTCTGGGTGCTGCTGCTGGCGCCCCTAGTTTGGCCCGGGGCAGAGCAGGAGGCGGCTGGGCTCTGCCTGCTCTCTGGCCGTGCCCCAGCGCTAGGCAGACGCTGTGAGGAGAGCATTATTGTGGGTTTTCAGCTCACACGCCCCTTGATCTGCCAACTCGAAGGGCAACCCAGGGGATTGACCAAATGCGATTTGGCGTCCAAACAGCCGCGCTTTGCTCCTGCTCCATAAAACAACCGGGAGGGGGCGGGGAACCCCCACCACACAGACACACACACTTGATTGAAGTTTCGGACTCCTTTCGGCTCAGAAATCTAACGGGGGCTAGGGGGCTCCCTGCAGTGCTCGCTGCTCCCAGCCATGGAGGCTATTAGCAAGCAGCCCGGAAAGACGGGAGGCGAGAGAAAAGGCTCCCGGGGCACAGAAAGTTCCTGCCACCGCGCCCAGCCACCAGCAGGCGGGCACCCGTCTGCCCCCAGCCCCTCTGCCCCGGCACACGCGCTGCCGGGCAGAGAGAAGCAGTAGGAGCGCTGCAATTCCCCCCCCCCGCCGGGAGCAATGATTTGGGCACGGGTGGGCTCCATCCTGCAGCCCCCACCTACTGAGATCAGGGGCTCCTAATGCCCATCACACAAACTTCATCCTGGCCCAGGGGAAACCTCACCTCCCGCCCTTCCTTCCTTCCCTCCCTCTCTGCACTGGACGGTACCTGGGGAAAAACTGCTGCTGGTGGATGCATCAGCCGGAAGCTCAGGCGCCTGCCCCACCACCGACACCCCGTGCACAGCGCCGGGCTTCAACTTGGCGGCTAGCTCCGAAGGTCCCAGCAAAGGCGGACGCGGACGCGGACACGGCTACGGCTGCTGCTGGGAGGGGCCGCCCCGCCGGGTGCTGCAGCCTGATCCCGGCTGGCTGCTAGCAGGTGCCTGCTGGAGCCCGCGAGCGAGCGATTGGGTCCCCCTCTCCCGGCTCCGCGCAGGGGCGGGAGCTGGCGCCGCCTCTCCCGGCTCCCCCACGCCAGCAGCAAGGCGGCCCCGCCGAGCACCTGAGGCCAGCGGGCGGCTCTTCCCCTTGTCCCCCAGATCCTGGCCGCGCGCTGCCTCCTGGAGTGGGGCGGGGATGAAGCTCCGGGAGCAAGAGGGGGCGAGGCAGGGTGGGTCTGGCAGGGGCTGGGAGAAAGTCCCTTAGCTTCCGTTCCTCCCCCTGGCTGCGCTCTCAGCCTCCTCCCTCACCCCGCCTGTGACCCTTCCCACAGTTCATGTTGAAGACACGAGATCGGAGTTGCTGCTGCTGTTCTACACGCGCCGGCTGCCTCGGCGGGTAAACGCAGAGAGGTTGTGTTTTGCTAGGCAGGGTGAGGGACGGTGACATCTGGCATCGGACCCGCAACTAACTGATCCCGCGCAAGCTTTAGTATTGGGACCCCCGGAGGCACCTTCTTCACTTGTCTAACTCAGCCCGGCTTTCAACCCTTGGTCCACTTTGAAATTCGACCCCCCCATCCCCAGGCAAAACCAAGACGGAGTTGGTTTCTCTTTAAATATTAGATTGGAGTTTTGCTTTTAAATTGTGCCAGAATCAAAGTTGACCAGTTTTTAAACATTGTTTTATAAGGAGACAAAACGTATGTGACATTTCAAAACAAATGTTCTACAAGGTACATGTTATATTGTAACTCAGGGTTACATTTAGGGGGTCAAATTCTGCTCTCAGTTATGCCCCTGTGTCACTGCACGTCAGTCGAACTACTCCAGATTAACACCAGTAAAGCCAAACAGAATCCCATGGTTAAAATACTGCCCTAAAACTGGGAACAGCTGGATTCAATTTCTGCCTCTATCACAGACTTCCTGTGTTACCTGTGGGAAGTCACACTTAACCTACCCGTGTCTGATTTACCTATCTGTAAAATGGGAAGAATGTTTCCCTACCCGGGTATTGTGAGGAAAAATGTATTAATATTTGCAATGAATTTTGAAACTACAGCAATAGTATAAGATAAGGACCTAGACAGCTGTAGCTATATGCTCCATGTATATTCAAATGTATATACTTTCAAATTATTGAATTTGACAAAAATAAAACATCCCATAATTAATATAAGTGAAACACCCTTAATGAAATACATTTTCAAATGTTAACCATCTAGTGTTTATCCAGTGAATAGATGTCTTATTTATGCAGTTAATTTCTTTTCAGTACATTTTCCGGTTTTGAATCCTTTTATATATTTGGTATATAATAGTTTGGATTTTAAGTAATTACATTTGGCCAGCAATTAGCCCCTATTACAGTTGAACTGCTTTTGGCATTTTGAGATATTTTTTTTAAGATCATCTATAACTCATGTGCAATTACAGCTTAAGTACTGTAAAAATGTAAATAAAATAAATAAGTAAATAAATCTGCCCAAGTTAATGACTTTTTAAAATTACAAATAAAATGCAACAAAAATATGTGATTTTTAAAAATAAATCATATTGATAACTTCCTGGATATTTTATTGATACCTTCTTGCATGTAGATATTACATTAGATTTTTTTTAGTTTATAAGTACCTTATTTTTCCAGATATATTTTAATTATATTTATTGTGACTTCACTCATTTCTTTTGCCAGTTTCTTCAGAATTCCTCTATGGCTACTATCTGGTCCTGGAATTTTGTCAATCTTTAGATAATTTTAATTCATCTACTATAATCCCAATTTGTTCAGTATTTCCTTCTTCCCCAGCAAAATTCCTGGCTGGTTTTGATATCCATCACACATTTGCCTTTTAAAGACTGGAGTAAAGAATTCTTTTTTTTTTTTAAGCATCATCTACCTCTTCAGTCAGTAAATCATCTCTAAGAATAGAGGAACATAGGAATTGCTATATTGATCAGACCAGTCTGTCTAATCCAGTACCTTGTCTCTGCCAGAGAAAGGTGCAAACCCCCCTATAACGAACTGCTATGAAATAACTTACTGATAGAACTTTCCTCCTAGTCCTCCTATACCAGTTAGTAGTTGATTTACAACCTTAAGCATATGTTTTTTTTATCCCCTATAATTTTGTTTATCCTATCTAAAGTAATTGTGGATGTTCTCATTAGTCATATAAATGTCTTATACTTTTTTACAGTATTACTTAGTTCTTAGGACACAATCCAACTAGTTCCACTGGTAACTTTAGATGTTGTGTTAAAAGTGTTTACCAGTTTTAAATTTGTTGCCATTAAGTTACATTTATTTTATTATGAATGAGAATAAATTGGAGCACCTAATAGACCTCCCTTATGCCATTTATTATTCTATATTTTAATTCTCCATTTTCAATTTCCTTATCATGCCTCCTAATTTTATTTTGTGTCTGCTCTGATGAGTCACATGCCTATGGACTTAACACTCCCATTGACTTCAGTGGAAACGCAATTGGGCCCTTAATTTTTGCAGATACCTCTAATTTATTTTAAAGAACTTTTTGCACTTTTATATTTATCCACGTTAGCCTTTTTTATTCTACTCGGTTTATTGCTAGATAGCACACTTAACCTGGGACATACATAACTTTTCCATTTTCCTGGTGTGTCCTTCCCCATGGTTGCTTTATTCATTCAGTTTCACCTAACACAACCTGTATTGCGCCATTATCTTTTATTGGTTCTCTAATTTTGTCTCATTTTAAGTCCTAACTAGTAATTTAATTAGAAGATGGGCAGTTTCATACTGGTATGACCCTGCTTACTTCAGTGGCTTTATTCCTGATTTACAATGGTGTAACTTGCACTAAGTAAGATTAGAAGCCTGTCCCAGGAAATTAACTATGACACAATTGCTTAAATGCATCTCAATTTCTGTACCTCTGAACATGTCGTTAGTGTTAATAAAATAGGCCCCATTACTGCATTTCTTGCGTACCCCAAATTCCCATTGAGTTAATTGATATCTGAGTAAAGGTGTTTAATAGGTTGAGTAATTCTGGTGTTAGAGAATGTGGAATAATTACATATATGGTCCAGGTCAGGTAAGTGCTATCCTAATACTACTACTTAGCACTTGCCAGCTGTATACCCAAAGCAGTTTATAAAGGTGGATATGTGTCACTAATTGAAGAACAGAGAAGTTAACTGGTTTGTTTATGATCATACAGTGAGTCTATGGCAGAGACAGGACTAGAACACAGGCCTCCTGGTTTCAGCCCTGTGTCCTATCCACAGGACCAACATTGTGCCTTACATTCATAGTCCTTGTAGTCTAACTAATCATATTTAATTAATGTGATTTTTTTTTCTTGCCTGTTGGCTAGTGCATGTGGCTCTGAGCTCTGTGTTTTGTGTCTTTGTGTATAGAAAAAGACTATCTGCCATTAGTTACTACTGTTGTTCCTATGTTTGTCTAGAGCGGGGTGGGCAAACTTTTGGCCCGAGGTCCACATCTGTGTATGGAAATTGTATGGCGGCCTATGAAGGCTCACAAAATTGGGGGTTGGGGTGCGGGGGTGTGTCAGGGCTCCAGCTGGAGATGCAGGCTCTGGGGTGGGGCTGGGAATGAGGGGTTGGGGATGCAGGAGGGTGCTCTGGGGCTGAGACCGAGGGGTTCGGAGGGGGATCAGGGCTGGGGCAGGGGGTTGGGACACATGGGGGGATCGGGGTGCAGGTGCTGGGCGGCGCTTACCTCAAGCAGCTCCTGTAAGCAGCGGCATGTCCCCCTCCGGCACTTACACGGAGGCGCAGCCAGGCGGTTCTGCGCAGTGCCCCATCCGCAGGCGTTGCCCCTGCAGCTCCCATTGGCCGTGGTTCCTGGCTAATTGGAGCTGTGGGGGCAGCGCTTGGGGCAGGGACAGCGTGCAGAGCCCCCGGCTGTCTCTACACGTAGGAGCCGGAGGGGGGACATGCCGCTTCTTCCAGGAGCTGCGCGGAGTGGGGCAAGCCCTCGACCCCACTCCCTGGTGGGAACTCGAGGGCCAGATTAAAACGTCTGAAGGGCCGGATGCGGCCCCCGGGCCGTAGTTTGCCCACTCCTGATCTAGAGTAAGTTTAATAAGTTTGTTTACAACGAAATCTATACAAGTGGGATGAAGAGATATTCCTATCACTGGCATCCAGAGTGCGGACGTTATTTGATCATCCTTCCAGTTTAAAAATTTTAACTTCTATTTGGGCCTGGACCAGCTCCAACTGCAGTCACAGCCTAAAGTTCCAGTGATGTCAAAGGGAGCACGATCAAACTGTTTATGGGCTTGCATACACATTTCTTTCTCAAATGTCCTATTGGTGTTACCACTGGTTCAGTTCCAGCTGGTAGACCTGGGAGAAGGGTCAGAATTTGGGGGGAGCATGGGCTGTTATAGCAGGGGTAAGGGAGAGACAAGACAGAACTGGGGCAGGGGGAATCAAATCAGTATCTTAGATGTCTGTATACTAATGTGAGAAGTATGGGGAATAAGCAGCAAGAACTCAAAATGCTAGTAAATAAACACAACTATGACATAGTTGGCATCACAGAGATTTGGTGGGAGAATACGCATGACTGGAATATTGGTATAGAAGGGTACAGCTTGCTCAGGAAGGACAGGCAGGGAAAAAAGGGAGGAGGTGTTGCCTAATATATTAAAAATGTATACACTTAGACTGAGGTTGAGATGGAAATAGGAGACAGATTTGTTGAAAGTCTCTGGGTAAGGATAAAAAGGGTAAAAACAAGGGTGATGTCATGTTAGGGGTTTACTACAGACCACCTGACCAGGAAGAAGAGGCGGATGGGCTTTTTTTAAACAACTAACAAACTAGGGTGACCAGACAGCAAAAGTGAAAAATCGGGACAGGGGGT